GGAAAAGAAAGAAGAGTTTAGGCAGCGGCGTCCTCGTCCTCGGCGTCATCGTCTTCTTCGTCGTCCTCAACGTCCATGGGATCCCCGTCGACCGCGTCCTCAAAATCGGCCTCGTCGGGGGAGGAGGATGGTGCATAGGAGTTATCCTCCTCGTCCTCGCCTTCATAGTTTTGGCCGAGGAAGGTGCTGTCAAAGGGCGGCGGGACGTAGTTGACGCCGCGAAAGAACGCCGTCATGTCGTGGTGTTGGCGTTGCAGCGTCCAGTCCATCCGCTCGATTGACTGCCCCATGCCATCCACTGTGAGGGTTAGCCGATTCAGAGTATCGGCTATGGACTGTAAGGACGCCTTGGCGGGAGCGGAGGCAGGGGCAGGGGCACGGGCACGACTCGGTCCAGCGCCGGTTCTGTCACCGGACTTCTTCCGGAAGGTGCTGTCTTGGATGATCCAAATCTTTGTCATCTTCGTATCCAGGCCGGCGATGGAGATGTCGGCGGAGATGATGAGGTTCATAACGAGGAAGGCGTATGGCAAGCTCCGCTCAGTGGCGATGGAGGCGCAATCCGCCATGTGGATCATCATGAATTTCGCCCAGTTGATGGAGGCGACGTGGATGATGGCATGAATCGCCTTCAAGTCCTCGATGAAGAGCGAGGTATGGCTGCTATCCCGGGGGCGGAGAATCCGGGTGATGATGTAGAGGAGGAGGCGCTTGTCCGGTGGGGCCGAGTGAATCGTCGGTGCGCCGCTGTGACGGATGAGGTTGGTGATCCCAAGCTCTCGGATGACCACCGCCTCGTTGTTGAGGATCCAATCATTCCAATCATCGCCACCATAGGTTGCGATGTCGTCACCGCGGATGGGCAGCCCTGCGACCTGAGCGAAGGTAGCTAGATCAATCTCTATGTCGTAGAGATTGATGCTACTGCGAATGGTGTCCCCGTCCCGGCGGAGATTGGTGTAGAAGGCTCGCACAAAGGTGGGATTGAAGCTCGAGCGGCTCCTGGAGACGAACGACCACAGACCCGATGCTTGAAGCTGATTGTCGAGGTCGTGGTACCCCTTTTGTTGAGGGTACAACTCGGGCAGCACCCTAGGCGGAGAAATGGGACGCTTGGCAAAGTGCGTGAGGAACCGGTTGAGTTCCTCCTCCGACCCGAACTCCAAGAAGGATCCGTCCAAATATGGGAACGGAGGAGGCGCGGAGCTTGAGGGTTCGGCGGTGCTTTTCTTCTTGGAAGCCTTTGACTTTGATCTTCCTCCGGCTATGATTGAGGCGTTTTTGAAGAAAGATTGATGAAATAAGTGGTATAGGCTAAAGAGATGAAATAATGAAGTTAATTGTGTGTTAAAAAGGGAAGGGATGATGTGAATATATAGGGAGAGGAGGAAATCCCGTTTGAATTTTGAAAAAAAGAGCTGTTGGGCCATAAATGTTGTCTCCAACGGTTCTAAAATTTTGAACTTCAACCGCCTTCCCAGCGATGGTAGGATCTACCCATCGATGGGAAGGTCGCTATTGGAAAGCGAAGGAGAAAATTAGGCTGCCTTCCCAGCGATGTGTGGACTCTCCCATCGATGGGAAGGTGGGTTCTGGAAAGTGAGGAATAAAAGACGAAAGCCTTCCCAGCGATGTTAATACCATCCCATCGCTGGGTTGGTGATTTTGGGAATCCGTTTAAAAAAGATTTTAAAAAACATGTCAAACACCCAGCGATGGGAGAAAGTGCCCATCGATGGGTTGGGAGGTTCTGGAAAGAAATTTTTGAAACTAAAAACATTCACCCAGCGATGGGATGAAATACCCATCGATGGGTAAGGTGGTTCTGGAAATCCGTTAAAACGTAAAAAAAAACAAGTGTCAAACACCCATCGATGGGAGAAAGCTACCATCGATGGGATGGGAGGTCCAGAAAATTTTTTTTTTGATAAAAGTCCTTCACCCAGCGATGGGACAAAGTACCCATCGATGGGTTAGGGTGTTCTGGAACTCCGTTAAGTATTTTTTAAAAAAAAGAGTCAATTACCCATCGATGGGAAGAAGCACCCATCGATGGGAAGAGGGGTTCTGAAAAAAAAAGAAACTTCCCTCCCAGCGATGGTATGTCCTACCCAGCGCTGGTTCCCCCTGATTTCCAGAGTTCTTCACTTCGAACCGTCCCTGCAAAAAAAGAGTTAGAAAACCCTCCGACGCTCAAGTTAGTAAACGTTCCAGTAACAATAAAAGAATGATAAAATGCACAAGTTAGATCATCGTGGAGTCAAGGATTCCGAGTTCGCTACGAATGCGGAAGAACGACTCTTTCTCTAAAGGTTTTGTGAAAATGTTGGCTAATTGGTTGTGTGTTTCAACAAACTCAATTTTGACATCACCTTTGAGAACATGATCTCTAATGAAATGGTGCCTAATGTCAATGTGTTTCGTCCTTGAATGAAGAACGGGGTTCTTCGTCAAGCTAATGGCGCTAGTATTGTCACAACGAAGAGGAACGTGACTGATACTAAGGCCATAGTCCACGAGTTGTTGCTTCATCCAAAGGATTTGAGCACAACAACTACCGGCGGCAACGTATTCCGCTTCGGTTGTGGATAACGCAACACTGACTTGTTT